ATTAAAAGTCTAGTTGGTTCAATGAAGGAGAGATGTAAGCTTATAATTGAGAAAAATGGGGAACGCATTCCCTATTAATTTTTTTTTTTAATAAAATCTCCTATATTTTACCATGTGATTTGGCGCAGTCGTTATGAAGTTATGTCGAAAAATATTTGTCCAAAGACTTTTGCACCAGACTTTACAGTACCTAAGTGGTGTACTATCATATCATTATTGGGTCAAAGTGAATTCTATCTGCCACTTGGTTAATTTCAAGCCATGTAAACGTTTTGAATTACATCCTCAAGTTTCCTCTTGTCTACTAGATGAAGATACTAGCAAATTCTCGTTATATTGATTTATCTTACATAAAGTGTTACGTAAATTATAGGCGATTTGCTATTAATTCGCGTTACGAATTGGTGGAGTTTAACGACATTTACTCATGTATATATAGTTTTCATTCTTTCTGATAACTTCAAATGGCAAAATTTAACATTGGCATGATCAAAACTACAGTTAAACGGTTAAATACAGTACTTTACGCAAATTTAAATAAAGAAATTTTTTAACTCTAAATATTTTTTTTATTGTTAAAATATGATAAAAACCAAGTAATTAAGTTCAAACTTATTGCGTCAGTCGAACGAAGAAATTCCATAAACTTTTAAAATGCAACATTCCCTGATATTTTTTAAAGACGGTTCAAGTTCTAGATACCACATCGTGGCACAGCCAGTAACTATTTCATTGTAATTCCTTTAGTTTCGGCATAGAAAATTATAAATATGGTGCATATCTGTTATGATTGTTTCTATGATGCTAGCATAAAAGTTTCCTAAACTTTATTGGTAATTAAGGATAGTGTATACAAAATTCCATATTGATTCTAATAAATAAAACCTCAGCTCCAAATTTACTAAATAAATAATAAAATAAAATAAAATATAAAAATAAAATAAATGGCACAGTTGAAATGTTTTATGAATTTTATCTTTTAAAGAATAATTTAAATCCCTCGCGCTAACGTTAACTTGAATAGTTAAATTTAATTATAATCATTAAATAAATAGATTTCATTATTGCTTTTGATTTAGAAGCAAGATTTTTCTTACTTAGATGGTGAAATCACTCAAGAAGAAAATTTAGTGATATTACAAGGTTCGGATCGATCTTGATGGAACTTGTCAACAACTTATGGTATAATAATTTTGTTTAAATTGAAAATTGCCTTCGTTCATATTTGAAAATAGGATTCAATTTAATATTGGATCACAATCAGACAAGTATTTAAAATTTTAATAAATTTATTTATCTATCAAATAGTAATTTTATAGTTGTATTGTTTATATTTTAGCATATTAAGTTTATTTATTATGATTATCATTAATGCCACAGGTGAACAATTTACGTCTGTCGAAAATTTAATTTATAAAAATAATTTAATATCACGTTAAGGTAGAATTCACATAACGAAATCAAGAATCTAAAAAAATCTTTGCGCCTGTCCTAATTAATAAATTTTACGTAATTAATTGTAAAATTTACTTTAGATAATTTTTTTTTTGGATAAGAAAGCATCATCCAAAAAAAGAAAACCATCCCTTAACATATTTTGCTATGATAGAAACCAATACGATTTGTAATTGTTAATTTATTTCAGCATGTATGTATAATGTAGTCGTAGGACCGAGAAGTTACTGTATATTATCTTCTTTTTTTAGAAAAAAAAAAGCATTCTCTTTCTCTAGCAAAATGTAAAATAAGGAATAGAAAAAATAATTAATGGAAAATATTAAGTGTTCACTATTTATTGAATAAAATTTTTTAAATTTTGCAGCAGTATTATTCAAATTCAAAAAAAAATAATAATAATGAATATTTAAATATAAGAACTTATTTATTATTTTACTAAGATTTTGTTTGATCTCTTGTCTAACCATATGAAGCACGTCATTTATAATATTTTCCAATATTTTGTAATTATCCTTGATTATTTGCGCCTGGATAAGTTTCACTTCCATGATTATAAACATTTCTAGAATTTCGTAATACTTGTTCATGATCATTTTGATTATAAATATTATAATTGTTTTGAGAGATTGGTAACATTTGTTGTCCATAATTTTTCCCAGGTATGGTCTGCTCATTGTAGTAAGCGCTATTATAAGCTGGTGTATTGGAAACATTCCTTACTCATAAGTATTAATACTTTGAGTAGGAATTACTACCACTTCATTACCTCCTTCAATTTCAGTAGTTGGTAATGACTTTTCACTTTCCCTTCTATTTTTATTCCATCTATATAAAAAAAATACACCGAATGCTAAAAAAAATCCAACAGCTAATGATCCTATCGCTATACCAACCATAGCTGGTACTCGTAATTGGTTGTTGTTGTTTGTGTTGGAGAAGCGTTTAGCTGCACTTTTGAAGGATCAGTTGATGGAGTTTTGGAGAAGGACTAAATATTGGATCAAACTGTCTGTCCATATATATTCTTCATTATTATTAATATCAAGCAATAAAGTATCATTGTCTTCATAACCTTGACCTATTGAGTTTAATATACAAATTTAATTCTTAAGTAACATTCAAATTTTTAATATTTATGATCACTCGTATACATACCAAATGATACAACCATATATTTTCCAATTACGTTCGCTTCATGCCAACGTCTAGGACTCGGAATATTTCCAGAAATTTTTGGAATGCACCACTCGTAATTATTAAATTTAATACGTAAAGCGCATTTTGAGATTAAAGATTTTCGTATTCCTTCGCCCCTCCGAAAATTATGACTCGTTGTCCATCCAATCCTTTATTAGAAAAGAGAATATATATATCATAATTAATTAAATTTAAAATAATTATGACATTATATAATATAATAACTGCCAAGAACAGCAGAAAAAGAATTCTGTCGGAAGGTATTGTTCCTGAAGTTATCTAACGTAAAATCTAATATAAGTTTATCAGCTGTTAGAAATATTTATAAGGCGAACTTACTTTTGTGCTCCAATTATCATCAATCGTTTCATATAGGTATATCTAAAGTTTCATTGATTGTTAAATATAAACTTTCAATTTCTAATTATTTCATTTAAAATCACCTCACTCAACGATAAAGCAAAATCATCATAGCCACCTAAATAACAATAATTTTATAAACAAGGAAATTGATGACGGATTGTAAAATGTTATAAAATTATTTGCTTACCAATATAAATAATTAAATGATCGGAGATGAGGGTTGAACCAAAAACACATTTTGGAGAAGGCGCGTTAATTAAACTTCCTATTTTCGAACCTAGATTTATTGTATCGAAAATTATCATATTATTTCGATAAACACCGACAGTACGTCCACCAAACAAATACATTTTCTCATTATCATCAACAATGCCTTTTAAGTTATCTTTTCTGCCAATAGTGACATCAGACATTTTTGGAATACCCCATGAATAACTTCGAGTATCAAATGCATAAATTAGAGCTATTGTTTCAGTATTATCATAAGGCATTCCTCCATATAAAAACAAGGTGTTATTATATGCACCACCTTTATTGGATGCAGCAGCAGCATGTGCTGGAATAGTATTAATGCTTGTTAAATCAAGCCATAATATATTTTGAGTATTAAATGGGACTGAGACGTCAAAATAAAAAAATTCTCTTCCGATTCTTCTAGTAAACAGTTCATCTCGCCCACCTAAGATACATGAATAACCATCAATAAGTGTTGACGTATGACCGAATCGTTTTGTTGGCTTGAAGAGCACATTTTGGCAATTTATTTTAATTAGTAATTGAATAAAACCCATGATACGATGTATGAGAAATTATTATTTGACATAATTTAAGATAATTACAGTAAAGAATTAATTTTACTTTGATAATTAACGTTGTAATACATTGCTGAGAACAATTATTCGCAATTTGTATTTAGTGTAACATTGTACGTCGGCAAAAACTAAAAACAGAGAAATAATAAAACAAATATTGTTTATTTACAACCGAGAACGTCCTTTTCCCTACCACTGACACATTGTCACCCACGTGATCATAGTAAATATTTGTCACCCTGCTCCCTCCAGAGAATTTTTTTTTGGTGGTGAAATTCAATTTGTCATTTCCTATTCATCATGTGGATAAGTTTTAATGCCGGCAAAAAATCACGTGTGGTGAAAAAAAGTGTCGGTAAATTTTTGCTTCAATATTGCAGCGACCCAATAAACATTCCATGAATTTTATTTGATTTTGTATTTTTTAAAATTTATAAGGAACTTTTTCCAAAGCGAAGTGGTTGTCTATTAAATCACCTTAACAACAGTATCCTTTTAATAATGTAAAAAATCGAATCGAATTGTCCTATTTACAGTCAGAACTCGATATAACGAACCCGCTGGCTTAGTGATTTGATTCGTTATAATGAGGATTCGGAAAAACGAGTTTTTCTTGATATATCGATTTAAACAGTAAAAAAATAAAAGTCCGTTATATCGAATTTTACTATTATTTTACAATAAATGCAATGTACTTATGCTTTGTTATTTGCTTAATTATGCTATATTATTTCTTATGTAAAATTTGAGAACAAAAAAAAAA